AATTATGAGTTCTCTGTGGATGGCACAAGACACGATTGAGGTACTGAAAGCTTGATTACCAAAGAAAGCTTTGACAAACAGAAATTCGTCAGAATATAATTAGAAGTAAACATTTTGGAAGATTTTGAAACTTATCTGCCGTTCCCTCTGCTGAAATGTGACATTTTTGACCGATGAGGTCAGTGTGAGTGGCGAAAGTCATCATGTTGAGGAACTGGAAGTTGAGTATCTGGATTACCAAAAAAGCTTTAATATTGATAAAATTCTATCAGTATATCATCACTATCAGAAAAGAAGGGAAGATTTTGAGCAGAATTAGCTTTTCTGCCGTTTTCTTGACCGAAATATGACAGGTTTTACTGACTTTTTGACCAGTGACCAATCAATGAGGTCAGTGTGAGTGAGACAAGTCACTATCGAGGAAGCTCTTGTAATTATACTGGAAGCTTAGGGGTTCACCTAACCATGTGCTTTCGCGCCACTTCGGGCGCGCTTGTTTCACAAGTCAAGCGGCGGGCGCGCGCTACTGCATACTGCAAGCGCAAGGGCTCTGGATAGAGCAAGCTTAGGGGCCTTCTTTTCTACTTAGGACGTCCACCAAAAACGCAGATTTTCAGACCTCCTCTTACTGGGCCGCGCTCAGCCTGTCATTCCGCCAAATCTTTATTCTTTAATGTTTATGAACATAAATAGCCTGGGGTCCCCAGGTAAACCTCCCCTGTCCGGGTGTGTCCGGATTTTCAAAACCACCCTCTCCCCCTGACGTCCGGATTTCCAGCTACTTTTAAAAGTACTTTTAAGCTACTTTTAAGAGTACAAATAAAACCAACTCAAATTCATTGTTAATAAAATGTGTAGTTTATACTTAAAATAGACAATAATAAATTTACTTTCAGTGTCTAACAAGTTTAGCACAGTTAAAGATTTAAGTACTTTTAAAGTACATTTAAAAATTTAAGTACTTAAGTAGCCATCCAATCGAATTAGTTTTAAGGCAGTAGGAAAATAATATTAATAATATATGCGAGTTGTGTCTCGGCTCTCATTAGCTGCTCTCGGAATCGGCTTCTCGTTCAAAATACAAGGATCTAACTTACAAAATAATTAGTGTCAAAGAGTTGAAATAAATGAGATTTTTTCATTAATTCTGCGTACATTTCCGCATTCCGGACGTTCGGATTTTTAGAACCCCCCTCCCCCTTTCCGGATTTGTCCGAAATTCCAAAACCACCCCCTCCATATTTGCTGGACGTCCTGCCTAAGTAGATGGCCCCTTAATGTCCGAAAAAAACTTTGATGAAAGAAAAACTATAAAAATGTCTTACTCCTACCATTTTAAGTACAACCACATTTAATTGACGATGTCAATTCATGGCAGCTCGGCGCGGCACAGTAGCGCATCTCGCCGATCTAGCCAGGAATTGATGAATTCCAGCAAAATACGCGCCAAAAGACGCGCAGTTGCGGAGTGATGTCAACGATTACTTTACACACTGATATCACTATAATTTGGCGTGACACACGTGTAATAGTAGAAATTACTAAGCAAGAAGTATACTTTCACAGGATTGACTTCGTGCAGTGATGTCAATGATTTCTTTGAGCACACCGATGTCATTATAATTTGGCGTAACCTGTGATATATATATAATAGTCTGAAAAGGAAAAACACATGGAGATTGTAGAAATTACTTAATTACTAGACAAGGAGTATACATTTACAGGATCGACTTCGTGCAAACTTTCAAGACGGTAATCACATTCGACCGAAAGAAACACGTAATATAATAGATTCGTTCAGACCCATGATATACTTTTTCCTCAGCAAGGGTGTACACTTAAGACAACAGGACCATTAACCTTGCGCAAGTTTGTACAATACATTATAATAATAACAAATTATTAATCTCATCTCGGTAACTTTTTAAACGTTCATGAAGGCAGTTTTTGACAGAATGGCAACTTTACTTGTTATCAGTGTTCATTGTCATGTTAAAGGTTTCCTTTATACAAGTGGTAGCTTAGGCCAACTTAATTATACTGTGTCATGTGTCTTAACAGAGTATTTACTATTATTGTGCGGCAAGTATCAGTATTCATGCGGCAATGCAAGGAATAAAAGCAAAAGAATCACGATTTTAATTGTTCACTCTCCGATCTAGCGCACCCTGACAGAACAGACTGTCCTTGCATGGTTTTACCATTACAACATGATGAATTAGGTAAAACCCCGGTAAAACTATAGCCGAGCACTCCCCAGCAAAAACGTGACCAATGCAATTCAATGTAATTCCACCATATCTATCAATCGTGTTAATGATTACAAAAGCCCGAGGTCCACCGGTAAATATAATCAAGTGGAAAAAGGTTGTAGACATATCACAAAATCTATGTTAACTTAGATATTCTAATAATTGGGAATAATTTGATTACATACTTTAAAGAGAACAGTAACCCTGGTCATTAGAAACAGTGAAACACCCCTAAAAGTTCGGTTTTTGACAAAAAATTTAAAACTTCTGTAATTTCATTTCTGTTTTAGTTACGCATTTGATTTTTGGTATGCGTATAGAAAATCGATACGGCTTTAAAATGAGATGTCCGGCGACCTCTTAGCTTACTCACTAGACTCAGTAGGAGTGATTTAACTGCGAGGGACAATTGAGGCTAACGAATTAGCCCCATCACTTTCAAAAAATAACTTTCTCGTGTAACGTCCATGATATCCAAGTTGCAAGTATAATCCATTGTGATTATACTTGATCGAGATCTATTCGAAGTGAAAATGAGGCTAACCACCTTTTGAGAGGGTGAAATGAGGCTAACAAGTATACTTTTGTGTATATTTTCGAGTAGGTTCGGTATTGTGACTATCTTAAATATGTCAACAACAAAGATTGATTTATCCTCTTCAAGCTCAACATTTCAGAAATCGCAGAGTCTACTTGTAGGATGCCGAAATGAGGCTAATAAAGAATTCGACCGCATTTCAACTTTAATGTACGGAAACAGGTTAACAGCTCACAAGTTACTTGATATCAAGGTTGCACATGAAATTCCTTGGGATTATACTTAATCGGTATCTAAGCTTCAAATATTCGAGGTGAAAATGAGGCTAACCACCTTTTGAGAGGGTGAAATGAGGCTAACAAGTATATTTTTGTGTATATTTTTGAGTAGGTTCGGTATTGTGACTATCTAATATGTCAACAATAAAGATTGATTCATCCTCTTCAAGCTCAACATTTCAGAAATTAAATATTATAATAAGAGTGTCATGAGTTAGCCTCAATCTCACCTCTCAAAACTCATGTCAGGTTAGTATATGATTATCAACTAATCATGAATACAGGTTAGACAGAAACAATTTGAAGGGCTAGTCCGAAGAAGCAGTAGAACAAGAAATGAACAAAACCTTGATAGTTAGCCTTATTTTACCCTCCATCAAAAGACAGAAAGGGTAGGTGGAGTCTACCATCGACCTAAAGTATCCATATAATGTATACCAGGGCAAAGGATAGTTTAAAGGACGTTATTGCTTAAACATAATTCAAAAATTAGAAAAGATTTGTCAGCCTCACTTTACCCTCCATTAGAACTAGAAGGAAAAAAGGGGTCGGCTGGGCCAGCCTTCGACCTAGAGCATCCATCTCATGAATTTTAGTTCAGAGGATACTCTGATAGACGTTATAATTCAAATATAATTCATAACTTAGTAATGACTTGTTAGCCTCATTTTCCTCTCAATTAGCGAAAAATTTCCCTCTTCACTTCGGATTCTGAAAGAGTTCGATCTGACAAATCGATTGAACAGGTTTAAACTTTTATTACATACTTGGAAGCTGTCATTAGAATACAAAATGTAAAATGACTCGTTAGCCTCAATTTGCCCTCGACTAAATGCTTCACAAATTTTATTAATCGAAGCTCAATTAGTTGAAATATAGACTTGTGAAATATCATATGCCTATCTTAAAAGTTGTTGCTGTGACAATCTTCTAAAGTTAAATTGGAAAAAACGTGGTCCATCTCGTGCGAACTTTCCTAATGACCAGGGTCCAGAACATGATCAATGATGGAGACATTCGTAAACTATTGACAAATAGATTTACGAGAGTGCTATGGCCAGTACCAAATACACAAATCACTAATCATGATTCCTAGCTTTGAATTTACCCGGGAACCCCGGGCTTTGTGTTCTCAAACAGTCGTTATATTAATATGAGACTTAAGTTAATTTTAATAATATTCTTGATTGATACGTGTATGAAAACCTAAAAAACAGGGTCCCCAGGTAATAAGACTAGATTAGATATTTCAAAGATTTCGATACGAGAGGTTATCATACCTCATGCTACTGCTAGCTATGCATTTTTCGTATAATACAGAATGACATTAACTGCGGAGCACCGTACTAAGAGTAAGTTTCTACAACAAGGTCTATTATATACTGAACATGCGAAGATGATTAATCACTCAACACTCGACTAACGCATAATATACTTTAACAGTTAACACGTACTTCAAGTAGTCCTTATTGACTATTTAAAATCCAAACCCAAACTAGAGCGCAGAGCATATGTTGAAAACCCTAATCCGTACGAGAAATTATACCAACATCCCTATTTGGTCATACCACCTGGTCATTATAAAGAGGTTCATAAAACCAAAACATATCTAAATAATTTTTGATCAATTAGACTTAATTGACGTTCATAACGCTCAATAACAATCAAACAAATTTTCAAGTTTCAACTTGAATTGCTCCAAGAGTTTTTTGGCCTATTCTTGCTGCAAGGAGACTTCTTAGCTCTAGAGGTAGGTCTTTATCAAACAAGGATAGTGGGATTTGCTCTTCAGTTAGGTACCATGTGTGCCTGTTGAGGACTGTCGTGGTGATGGCTGATACTCTGTCTACACTCTGAAGACTATGTAACAAACGGATGTCGTCGGAGGCTGCAGATTCAAGGAAAGAACCAAGCTCTCAAGTAAACGAAGACAACAAAGTGAACACGTTTCTCTTCTTCGTCCAGTGAAATGGTAGCTAATGAAGAAGAGCCGTCTTCATAATGTATATGGCATGGTGGATGGTGGTCAGCTCCAGGTCATTGTATCTGGAGGAATCCTTTCTTCATCTCTATGCTTTCTCACTCGATTAGTTTAGCAAGCTCTAGGAATTCATTGTAATCTCCTGGGCTGGTTGTTGAGTTGGCGGATGTGATTAATGAAGGATAGAAGGTCTCCTAATCCTACGTCGTTCCTGTAGCAAGTAAGGATATCGGGAAGGACGATGTTCTGCAGATAGAGATCTTCCCAGGAGGTCTTCTTGATCTTGAAAAGGGTTATTTCGAGTGATGTTGTGTCACCGAACAGTTGCTTGGAGGCAGATCCTCTTACAAGCTCCGCCTCCAGGACGTGATGTCTCCAGGCGGGTAGGCCATCCTGAGTATCTGTCGATTGTCGATTGAGGAGCTGCTGAAGAATAGTACATGCCCTTTTGTGAACTCCACCAGTATTGGATGATGTCGTATCAAATCCAACGGCTATCATTTTATCTGCTAGGCTCCGGTCGTCGAGAGTCTTCTTCACTTTGTCTGCTTCGTCATAGTCCTTGTAGAGTCACTCGTCTTACAGATTGCGAGTATCTTGTTCTCCTCATCTTGTACTAGGACCACAGCCAGTCTGTTTACTTTCCTAAATCCTCCGAGGTCTGCCAGGAGTTTTCCGTCGAAATTTTTCTGTCTGACATTGGACGTTAAGTCTCTTTTGATCTTTGCTGCTTGCTCTGATCGGATTGAGGCTCTGTGACGACGTGCAGTGGACTTTGAGAGAGAGATAACAGCCTCATATCCCCGTATCTTCACCGAGCATTGCGATGCAGTGTCTCCTCGAACCGTCACTGAGGGAAAGAAATGTTCACAAATCTGATTTATTTTTCAATAAATAATGAACATGCAATATACATGAAGGTTTTAACAAACAGGGTTCAAGCCAGGCAGCATGGTTGAATAGTGAATAGTAATACCTGATAGTGAGAGAAACAACTGCACCAAGACTGAAGACGAATGAACTCCGTAAATTTCTGGCCGAAAATAAATCGTCTTTGCAAATTGTAGATCCCCTCCTAAAAATATAATCTATATTTAAGAGATGTAAAAAATTACCCCATACGTTTGGTCTTATGGCATAGCCATTCTTTATTAGTTTATATAATATGTTTAGCGTAAAAACATGTTAAGCGTAGCTAAACATATACACATTTATACAGAACTGTGGTATTAAATGTTGAGAAATCACGGTACTAACTGTGTCTTAGTATATAAACAGCTTTAAACAGCTCATTAAACAGTGGGAAAATTATACCCACTAGGGGTTTTGTTTTCAATGTAGTCGAATTAGATGAAATAAAAAGTTACAAAAACAGGAATAAACTCAAAATCCCAAAAATACTCAAAATTGAAATTAGAGGTGAAATGGGTTTTTTGGGCTTAGTACCATGTGCCTGTTTTTCTGGGAAATGTGCCATGTAATAACTGTGTTTTGGAAGAAAATATGACCCCCCCAACGTCACCTACGGTACTAATTGTATGATCCCCCCCCCCCCATCCCCGATTACAATCTAGCGATTGTACCAATACAAGTGTGTGGCTATATTGATTGATCCATGTCACGTGTCATTTGTATATAATATGATCTCTTAAAACTATTAATACTACATTATAGTGTTCTAAACGGTAAACATCCTTCATTCGTGTTTATTAAATTTTCGGCGAAATAACCACCGAAAAACAGTTCACTTTACCGTCTGTACTTGAAAATTCACGGGACGAACTTATGAATATATCGAAGTTCCGGTGTTGTGTTATAGTGATTTATGGACCGTTCACATAATACGTTATCAACACAGAGTCAGTATTACTAATTATTATCGAAATATATTATATACGACTGAAAGATCAAGCCGTCTTAAATCCTGAGACTAAAGATTTAACGGAAGCTTCCTGAAAAAATCACACATTGAATAATTAAGCTAAATAACGATACAGTTAATTCCCCCCCCCCCCCCCGCCCCATCGGCTGATTAAGTAACATATGTCAACACCCCGGCCCCTCAGTACGCCGGTGATAAAAACCGGAAGAGAAGCGCGGACAAACTTAGAAAGAACTGCTGAAAGAAGTGTATTTTATATTAAAACTGGTGTATTATAACTGATGTATAATTCTGTCCGTGACCCAGAACGTGATCTGAGCCGCGCGCACGTGCTACAACGGTGATTACTGCAGCTCGGAGCTGACTCGGAGCTGACTCAGCCTGCTCTGTACACACATTCCTCATGGAATGTGGAATTCCTCATGGAATGTGTGTACAGAGCTGAGTCAGCTCCGAGCTGAGTGTAGATAACTGATTTGAGTGACACACTAACTATTCAATTTTAACTGTTTAGAGATTTTCAAAGAACGTTCCATGGTTCCTAGAATACCAAATAAAAGATTCGAAATGTAGCATACAGTGAATATGTCCCTATAAAACATTGTAATGTAGATTATTATTATCGACAATATAGGCAGTCGGCAGAGTGAATGAGTTCAGCCATCTACAGATTATCGGGAGACCCCCGAATTGCCCGTATCCATGGAAACGTAAAAAATACTTAGACGTCGCTCAATCTTTCGCAGGTAAGTTTAAGGCATATCTTTTCTAAAACGGAAGAAAGACTGATTGTTTTAGTTCCATCCAGTTAAACCCAATTGTCAAGCGACAAAATATTTATGAATGTGCTAGAACCTGGTGTCCCTATATATGTAGAGGAGATTATTTGTGAATTATTTTTACGACTATGATCATTTTCTCAGACTGTCAAAAGAGACAATTTTGAAAAAGCGTTGAAAGACCTCATGGATCAAATCAGCTTTGGATCAATGCCGTTTCTCGATAATGACTTGACAGAGGGTATTATCAAATTGATTGTACAGGAGTGCCACAAAATCTGCTTTCCACAAGATTTGGATGCCTTGGTGTCGGGGTTGAGTGAGTCAACTAAATTGGACATCATGGAAATATTTTACGATATTTTTAGATTGAAGAAGGTCGACGGGATTTCGATGTAGTTATGTCTTATAGCAGTCGCAAATACATTTGACATAATATTGGACACCCCCCTTAGTACCATGTACCTGTTTTTCTGGGAAATGTGCCATGTACTAACTGTGTTTTGGAAGAAAATATGACCACGGTACTAAGCATATGATCCCCCCCCCCCCCCGATGCTATCATGATTGCATAGAATTATGTACTGTGAATATGTTAAATTACAGCATTACCAAGTATAATTAGTTCACAGATCCACGCCCTACCTACCAAACTGTTACACAACATGAAGGCTTTGATTTGCTTCTAATTTAAGAGCTATAAAGTGTATGAGAAAAATCAACTATAACAGGTTTAGATGTTTACCTGAGTTCTGTATCGTTCGATAGCAACTCCATCTATACATCTAGTCAGCAAGCCATTACTGTACGTGTATTCCACCAGTACTTGCGATCCTCGTTGCAGCTTTCGCATGTTTTATGGGTCCAGCTTTCGCAGTTTATGGCTTCTACCTTGCGATTTCGTAGAAGGTAGACCATTTCTTGCTGTCACGGGCTAACTAAATGGCATAAGAACATTGAAGAGCGACCAAAGCAGCCTCATTCAGTGCTTTCTTCTTCGTTCTCTTCGTCAGTCCAAAGCAGTTGAGTAGAGCTGGTAACCCAATCTCTACCGTAAAGAGCTGAGCTTTCCAAACTCACCCGTCGATGCCAGCTCTAGCTGTTGTACCTTACTTATTTACGCACGACTTGGTCACCACAAGTCAGTTCTATCAGAACCACTTCTCTCTACAATTTCAGGTCTCTCGGATGTGTTGTAGATGTGTTGTATCGTGTCCTCGTCCCAGATCAGCATCCAGTCGTTCGCCCTCTCAAACGGCATCTCCTTCCTCAACTTCAGCTCATCATAGCTCCCATTCTTCAACTTGAATCGTAACGATTATTTGTCGGAGGGCGTGGAAAATGCGGAATTGTAAGTCTTGAGTTGGTCTAGCAAGGCTCCAGCTATGACACGCAGAACGTTGTCATGCCTCCAGTTGTATCTCTTGGAGTTTCTTGCTACACTACAGACAGTAGACAGCCAGGATGTGGTTGATGTTGCACGTCTTCCAAAAGTTTCCTGTCCTCGAATAGCTTCACAGCTTCATATTAGCAGGGGTATTAGCCACATTATTTTGTCGAGTTTAGATGGAATTTAAGGAGAGCTGGGCTCATCTTGTAGTTGTAGATAAGGTTGTTCCAATAAAGTCTAATTGCGTTGTGTCTCCCATGTCAAGAACCTGCCCTGTACTACCTTGTTCACCGAGGAGGACTCATGTTTACATCTGAGTCCTCCTCGGTCTTTAGTTATTACTCCAAACAGCTCCTGGAAGTAGAGATTGTTATAAATTGATACTATATTTTATATTTAGACTGATAACTGATCACCTATTATATTTTGTAGGGTCTAGGTTTAGATCCTGATTCACGATTTCCCTGTTTCTCTTGTACCACGGCTAAGACGTTACAATGGCGACGAGGATTATTGGACAGTTGGAACTCTTAACATCAGATGCAGATTGCAGAACATGGTTTGAGAGGTTTGAGTTGTTCGCTCAAGCCAATCAGCTATTCAGAGCGGTACCAGCAATACCGGAACTCGTTAATGACAACAGCAACGCTGCAGCAGTGGAAACAGCAAGGACGGATGCGCAGAATGCGACTCAAGGAAATACCGCAGTTTTCCTATCGTACTTGGACAGTGGCATGTATGGGCTAATCAAGAGTTTGAGCAACCCAGATGAAGTGAGATTGTGCACCTATGACACCCTGAAGAAGAGGTTAGTAGATCACTTGATGCCGCAACCTGCAATACATCTTCAGAGATATAAGTTTTCTTCCTGCAAACAAGTGAACGAGACAGTTGGTCAATACATCAACAAACTGAAAACAATCGCAACCTTTTGTGACTTTGAGAACTTTCAGGAGAGAATGCTCGATCAATTTATTGCTGGAATGAAGAGTGTGAAAATGAAGAAAAGGCTGTTAGGGGAAGCCAACTTAACTTTTGAGAGAGCGGTAGAGTTAGCTTTAGCTGCTGAGAAGACAGAGGAGGAAGCAGCGCAGATGAACATGAGCGAGAGTGATGTTAACAGAGTATCATGGGAGAGACGGGAGCCGAACAAATTCAAAGCTTCAGTTGTATGTACGAGATGTACATTGAGTGGACACACTAAGGACGACTGCAAAACTAAATGTTTCAAATGTAAGAAAACTGGACATATCAAGAAGAACTGTTATGTTGTGAAGAAAACTCACAATGTTGAAGAGCAGAGTGAAATTGAGAGTCAGAGTCCAGATGTCAATAGTTCTTTGGAGTGGTCAGTGAGACACGTGAATGTGTCAGGTAACGTTACGGTGTCAGGTAATGTTATTGAACCACTTGAAATTGGAATTGATAATGTTTTTTGTCAGAAACCAATGGTTAAAGTTACTATTAATGATGATATTTTTTTGAATATGGAGTTTGATAGTGGCAGTAGTGTGAGCGTAACAACGGTACAAGCTTTGTGTGAGAGTGCTCGTGTGAGTTCGTCAGTTGTGTATGATGCACTGGTAAAGACGAAGAACACTCTGAAAGTTGCCAACGGCGAGATTAAGTCTATACTCGGGAAGATGAAAGTTAAAGTGAATTTTAAAGGTAAATGTAGAGAGAACATGGAGCTGTATGTTGTGGAGGAACCGTTTCCGACTCTCTTTGGCAGAACTTGGATTCAAGTTTTCTGTGGTTACGATTGGTTGGAACAGCTATTCAATGGAAAAGACCGTGTTGTGTCTAATGTACCCTCTAAATGTAGTAAGTTATGTAGTAGTGTAGTGAAGTGTGATCAGTCATGTAATTCTCAATGTTCAGTAGATGTTTTAGGTGAGATGAGAGGCGAGTCGTCTTGTGTAATGTCTGTTGTTGACAAAGACGAAGAGTCAAAGATTGGTAAAGACGAAGAGCCAAAGATTGACAAAGACCTTCAGAGTGAAGAAGGATACCCTCTCAACCAAGTCTCTGAAGGAATAGTAACTGAGAAGATGATCACGGATTACGTGGAAAGTTTAAAACACGACAAGATATTCAAACCTGGAATTGGACAGATCAGTGGAGTCGAAGCTAAATTCACGCTGAAAGAAGAAGCTCAACCCGTATTCTTAAAGGCTAGGAACTTGCCGTATTCTCAACGAGAGAAAGTCAAGAATGAGTTGATGTCCTTGGTTGATCAGAATATCTTGGAGAAAGTTGAAAGCAGTACCTGGGCTACGCCTATAGTAGTAGTCGAGCGTGGGCCAAAGTTAAGGATATGCGGTGACTACAAAAGTACCCTCAACAAGCACCTAGAGACAAAGATGTATCCTTTACCGAGTACTGAAGAATGCTTTAATTCAATGGTTGGAGGACAGAAGTTTTCAGTTATCGATGTGAAGTCTGCTTACAATCATGTGAAAGTCAGAGAGAAGGACAAGAAGCTTACAGTGATAAACACTCATCTCGGTCTATTTCAATGGAATAGATTACCCTACGGTGTGTCAAGTAGTAGCGGTATCTTTCAGGAGACCATGGACAACACGTTGAAAAACATTGATAAAGTTTGCTGTAGGATCGATGATATTTTGATATCAGGAAAAGATGACCGGGAGCACTTGCAGAATCTTCAAGAGGTAATACGACGATTGCAGGAACGAGGATTTCGGTGTAACCGGGCTAAGTCCAAGTTTTTTCAGGACTCAGTTGTTTATTTAGGTCATCAGATATCAAGACATGGAATACAGCCAGTAAAATCCAAGGTAGCAGATTTGAAAGCAGCTCCAGCACCGACTAACCTGGCCGAACTAATTTCATTTCTGGGTGCGGTCAACTACTATCGTAGATACCTGCCCAACTTAAGTTCAGTTATTGAACCTCTAGATAGTTTGAGATCATCACCATGGAAATGGACCAAAAAGGAGGAAGTAGCATTCAAAGAGTTAAAAGACATGCTCTGTTCTGATGCAGTGTTGACGCTGTATGATCCTAACAAGAAGTTGAAGCTTGACACTGATGCCAGCAGCAGAGGACTTGGAGCGGTGTTGAGTCACGTGGACAAAGAAGGAGAAAGACCGATCGAATACATATCACGAACTTTATCGAAAGCCGAGAAGAACTACAGTCAGATTGATCGTGAAGCCCTAGCTATAGTATGGGCGGTCACAAGATTTCATGTGTATTTGTGGGGAAATCATTTTGAGTTAGTGACGGACCACAAGCCATTAACATTTATTTTTGACCCAAACAAGAAACTGCCAGAGATGGCCACAGCTAGAATAACTCGATATGGATTGACCTTAATGAGTTATCAGTATAGCATCAAGTACAGACCTACCAAAGATCATGCCAATTGTGATGTACTTTCTAGGCTGCCAGCGCCTACTAAACACAAGGAGGAGACCACTATTTATGACACAGTCCTCAAGGTCACGATGGAAGAAGCATTGTTAGATGCAGGACTAGTGGTCAGAGAAACGATGAAGGATCCGATTCTATCTCGTGTGTTTGCTTACACTATGGAGGGATGGCCAGCAAAACTAGACTGTACTAACGAAGAGATGAAAGAATTTCAGAAAAGGAAGACCGAACTATCTACGGAGCAAGGATGCTTGATCTGGGGAAATCGAGTGGTAATACCTGTGAAACTGAGGCAGTCAGTGTTAGACATGTTGCACTTGACTCACTCAGGGGTTAGCGGTATGAAGACAATTGCGAGGAGCTATGTTTGGTGGCCTAATCTTAATCAAGACTTGGAGAACATGGTAAAGACATGTGTGGAATGTAACAAGTTTGGTAGATCAGCACCAGCTTTAACAGACCATCCGTGGTGCCGACCCACTGGACCATACCAGCGCATCCACATGGACTTTGCAGGACTATTCCAGGGACACATGTGGTTACTTGTTCAGGACGCCTACTCTAAGTGGCCTGACATTGTTAAGATGAACTCAACGAAAACAGGAGCACTGATTACAGTTCTAAGACACATATTTGCTAGAACTGGGTTACCATGTGTCGTTGTATCAGACAACGGACCCCAGTTTACTTCAGAGGAACTCAGAGTTTTCTTCAAGCAAAACGGAATAAGACACATTCCAACACCGACATACCACCCTAAATCTAATAGCATCGCAGAGAGACTGGTACAATCGTTCAAGAATTCTATGAAAAAGATGTGGAATGACTCTAAAGACTTGGACAAGAATCTCAATAATTTCTTGTTAACTTACAGGAACACTCCGCACGCAACCACAGGTCAGACACCAGCAATCATGATGTACAATCGGACATTAAGATCTAAGTTACACATGCTCACGCCGCATGACAAGGAGAAAGTGGAAAACTTGCAAGCTGACAAACAAGAGCAAGTGTTGCAGAGCAATCCTAGAATATTTTGTCCAAAGCAGCCAGTACGTGTCCAGATTGATGGAAAAGAATGGAGACCAGCCACAATAGTGCGAAGACTGGGCGAATCATCCAACACATATGATATTGAGCATGAAGGACGCATCATCAGGAAGCATGCTGATCACATTCAAAGCCTGAGAAGACCTATTATCTCTCTTCAACAAGGTAACGTATCTGACAAAGACCCTGTTTCAGTGAGAGGTGAGACAGTGAGTGAGCAGCAGGATGTTAGTCCGTTAGTTGAACCTGGTATAGTTGACCCTGATATTGAACTGCCAGATAATTTACGAGATAATAATGATGAACCTTCTGAGATTGATATTAGAGATGACGTTATTGCTAGACAACAAACTGATGATGAAAATGTTAATGTTA